GAGCCTGCGTCTCGTCCTGCGTTGCCTGTTCGTACTGCGCGCACTAGTGGTCGTGGTTCGCGTCAGCGTCCTCCTCCTGTCCCTGGCACGCACCGGATGTCTCTGCGTCCGTCTACTGCTCCTCTGCGTGCCCCTTTGCCTTCTCCTCCTGCTTCCTCGTTTCCTGCTCTTGCCGACCTGGAGTCGGACTCTCTTCGTGCTGCCAGTCCTACTGTCACGCGTCTTCTTGCTACTGCTGTCACTGACCCTTCTTTCGAGTCTTCTGCTGCGTCTGCCCTTGTCACTGAGCTCGTCGACTTTGCTGCGCGCTGTCGTCTAGACTATGCTGCTAGTCTTGTCGCTGAGTCTGAGTCTGCCTGTCCTCCGTCCGTCGGGGGTGAGTGTGCCCTTGGCACGGACGTCCTTGAGGACAGGCAGGAGGAGTTCCAGTGTCTGGCCGCCGCTTCACCTCATCTCGCGTCTGTACTGCTAGCCCGTGAGGGAGACCCGGATGCACTTGACATCCCGACTCCGCGCTCTTACGCGGAGGCGATAGAGGGTCCCTACTCCTCTCAGTGGCAGGCAGCTATGGATGCAGAGATGGCTTCCTGGAAGTCCACAGACACCTATGTCGACGGTGTTCCCCCTCCTGGGGCGAACATCGTCAGTGGCATGTGGATTTTCAGGGTGAAGCGGCCGCCGGGTTCTCCGCCTGTCTTCAAGGCGCGTTACGTGGCTCGTGGCTTCAGTCAGCGGCAGGGGGTTGACTACTTTCAGACCTTCTCCCCCACCCCGAAGATGACCACTCTTCGGGTACTGCTGCACGTTGCTGCTCACCGTGACTACGAGCTGCACTCTCTTGACTTCAGCACAGCTTTCTTGCAGGGCAGCCTGCACGAGGAGATCTGGCTGCGTCGCCCACCTGGCTTCACTGGGTCTTTCCCTCCTGGTACCCAGTGGAGTCTCCGGCGTCCAGTCTACGGTCTCCGCCAGGCGCCACGTGAGTGGCACGACACACTGAGGACTACGCTTGCGGCACTTGGGTTTGCTCCTTCTACTGCCGACCCGTCGCTGTTTCTGCGCACCGACACCTCTCTGCCGCCGTTTACATCCTCGTGTACGTCGACGACTTGGTCTTTGCCACAGCGGACACTGCGGGACTCGCTTACGTGAAGTCCGAGTTGCAGAAGAGACACACGTGCACTGACCTGGGTGAACTGCGCAGCTACCTTGGCTTGCAGATCACCCGGGACAGAGCACGCCGCACCATTACCCTGACTCAGTCACACATGGTGCAGCAGGTCCTTCAGCGCTTCGGCTTCACGCACTCCTCGCCTCAGGCCACTCCTCTGCCTACTCGCCACTCGCTCTCAGCTCTGCCTTCGGATGAGTCCGTAGAGTCGAGTGGCCCGTATGCAGAGCTTGTTGGGTGCCTCATGTACCTGATGACTTGCACACGACCTGACCTTGCATACCCTCTCAGCATTCTCGCACGCTATGTTGCTCCTGGGAGACACCGACCAGAGCACATGGCTGCAGCGAAGAGGGTGTTGCGCTACTTGTGCAGTACGTCGGGCATGGGGCTAGTGCTTGGAGGGCGCAGTCCAGTGGTCCTCACTGGGCACGCGGACGCTTCTTGGGCTGACGACCAGGCTACGCAGCGGTCGTCACAGGGTTACACCTTCGGCCTTGGTTCCGGCTCTGTCTCTTGGCGGGCTACTCGCTCGTCTTCTGTTCTCGGCTCCAGTTGTGAGGCTGAGATCTACGCCGGGGCTATGGCTGCTCAGGAGCTTCGCTGGCTCACCTACCTGCTGACCGACCTTGGAGAGCCGCCTCGTTCTCCTCCAGTCCTGTACGTAGACAACAAGGCCATGCTGGCCTTGTGTCGAGAGCAGCGACTGGAGCACAGGACAAAGCACATTGCTCTCCGCTAGTTTCTTGCTCGTGAGCTGCAGCAGCGTGGACAGTTGCGACTTGCGTACGTGGCCTCTGAGGCCAACACTGCTGATGTCTTCACCAAGGCACTTGCGCCTTGTGATCATCAGCGTTGCTGCACGCAGCTGGGTCTTGTGCCTGTCTTGCCTCACTTGCTCACTTCTTGACCTTGCTTGTACCTTGACCTATATATACTCTTGCTCTTGCTTGCTTGACTCTTGTATATCTCTATATATGATCTTGCATGCGAACTCGCCTTGTGGCCCTTGACCTTGCGCTCGGAATGTGTGGTGACTTTGTGATCCACCCTGAGCTTTGCTTTACTTTGCTTGACTGGTCTTGTGACCCCTTGTTCTCCCCCACTTTGCCTATGGGGGTGTGTCAGAACATTATAGCTTACTTATTTGTGTAGGCTATAGTGGGGTATCCCATAGGGGGTACAATCCAATTAGGGTTTCATATTTGTACTCACTTCATTCATAGTTTATTCATTCTCGTTCAGTTCTCCACAGACGGTGGTTGCTTGAATAGCCTCGGGCTCTTGGCTTTTATACGAACATTGCGTAGCACCGGCGCGAATAACACGAAGATAGAGGTAAGGAGGATTCGGTCTGGCTGGTCGGTGATAAGGTAAGTGCAGTACCATTTTGGTCGGTGTGTTGAGCTGGGCGAAAATCGCAAGGGACGAAGAGTATGACGAGGTAAGGAGGATGCGTGAGGCAAATGTAAGAAGCTTGAGGTGAGGAGGATGTATGTCGAAGGGCTTTCGTGGGAAGGAGATGAGGGGGTTGGGTAGGTGGGGAGGGGTGGGATGCGTGCGAGCAAGGTGTGCTTGGAGCGAACGAAAATGCGAAATCGAACCGCGATCGGAGACGTGGATAGGTTATATCGCGGCGCGTTCCCGACGCGCCTATGCCCATCCAGTCCAGCATTCAAACGAGTTTTCTTATTGCCAGATCTTATCGAGAAAAGCCATTTCTACAACGGACCTTGTTACCAGTTTAAGATCAGTGTAATAAATGTGAATTCATTACTGTAGAGGCTGCTCCTAGCGAGGACAGCCCGAACTGTTCGCGTCAGTTGGGCTCGGCCTACACTTTCGTACCGACCCAGCGCCGAGTCGCCCCGCACCAATCGCGACACTTCCAAGCCTCGCACGTCCCGGGGTCCTCGCCTACCACGGTTTCGACCCTATAAATGCATGCCTCTTGATCATTCTCGTCATTCTCTAATTCTCATCCTTTTTATAAAGTCTTCCGCGCACTCTTCTTCGTACAACTCATAACACTTGGTATCAGAGCCTATGTTCCTAGGCTCCCCGTTTTTTAGAGTGTATTACCTCTTGGGGGGGAGGACAGGGAAGGATGTCATGGTGATAGGAGCAGCGCAAGAGCCGGCCAGGAGAACGGGTAGTTGCTCATAGCGACCATGAAATTTCAAGGCGCTCCTACGCAGGGCCTGTGCTAGGATTTTGGGCACCCTGAGCCCTCAGGGTAACTTTTGAAAAATCTCTGAAATGCCCTGATTCTTCAGGGCAAAATTTTCTGGCCATCCTGAAATTTCAGGGCACCAGCAGAAATTCATCAGGATGATTCAGAGCAAAAAATACGAGGCACTAGAGAGGATGGAGGGGAAGGCACGAAAGGAGCAGGTTGTTCACTGGTTTCACTTCTACTGGCGGAGCAAAAACATTGGTGGGGGAGGGGTGAGGACAAAACTAGCACACACACCCTCCAGCCTCCTTCCTCCCCTCTCTCCCTCTCCCTCTCTCCCCCCTCCACCCTTTCTCCCCTTCCAACGAGTCAGGGAATCCCTCTACATTCACCCTAACGCTTCAGGGCAAAATTTCACTGCCATTCTGAAATTTCAGGGCAAAACGCAAGGATCATCCTGACGTCACAGGGTAAATTTCAGCATCATTCTGAAATTCCAGGGCAAACTTAAGACACCATCCTGAAATCAGGGTAATCAGGATGTTTTGCCCTGATATCGTGGGCCCTGCTCCTGCGGCACCGACGGATCCTTGCCCTCGACGGTCGAGATGGACCGTGACCTCCCTTCCCTCGGGTGGCGGACAGCTTTTGTTGTCGTCGCATTTAACAGCGTGACTAAATTTCGTCGTTTCCGTTAATCTCAGCGCTGCTCTTATTTGGCAGTTGGTGTCAGGACGGTTGTCGTCACTGCATGTGCGAGATTCTCGGAGCAGCTGGTCGTGCGAGTTGAAGTTTTCACGTAGTCGTAAACTGCGCACGAAGAAATCGGAGTTAATGCGTGCGGCACGTAGCGTCGGGCGATTTCGTCACCTTGCGCACGAGAATTTTGGACGTCTTCGGCAAGTGACATGCGGCGTCACTGTGCGCGAAGATTTTCGGGTGGCATCACGGCAGAAACAACAGCTGGCCGGACAGGCCAGGCGCATGGTGATTTGCGTCGGAAAATGCAACGAGAGGCGGCGTGGCGACTGCGCGAAAAAAGCGGGGGTCTACCGTCGTCCCGCGCGGGTGTGGCCGGTGTGGCTGCAGGAGGGTGCGTCGTTGGCGTTTCCGGCAGGTGCGGCACAGTGTAGGACGGAAGTTATTTTCGAACCGCTGAAAAGTTCGGAAAAGGCCGCCTACGACTAGACTGTCTACGTTAGGGTCACTTCTGCACCTGCAACAAGGTCGGCCGAAATTTTCGGAGCAACAGCAGCAGCCGGCACTGTACTTCATGTGAAGAAACGAGGGAATGATTGACTAGTGGGAGGTTGGGTACAAGAACAAACCCTAGAAACATTGTACCCCATATGTGCTACCCCACTATAGCCTACATAGGCAAAGTCATATAAATCTGACACACCCCCATAGGCAAAGTGGGCGAGAACAAGGGGTCACAAGACCAGTCAAGCAAAGAAAAGCAAGCTTAGGGTGGATCACAACGTCACCACACATTCCGAGCACAAGTTCAAGGCCACAAGGCCAGTTCACATGCAAGATCATATATAAGAGTAAACAAGCAAGTGCAGATATAGATAGATCACACTACAAGCAAGGTCAAGAAGTGGGCAAGTGAGGCCAAGTAGGCACAAGACCTAGCATTGTACAGCACCGCTAATGATCACAAGGCGGAAGTGCCTTGGTAAAGATATCAGTAGTGTTGGCCTCAGAGGCCACATAAGCAAGGCTCAGCTGACCACGCTGCTGTAGCTCACGAGCAAGGAAGTAACGAAGAGCAATGTGCTTCGTTCTGTGCTCCAGTCTGTGCTCCCGACACAAGGCCAACATGGCCTTGTTGTCTACGTACAGAACAGGAGGAGAACGAGGCGGCTCTCCTAGGTGAGTCAGCAGGTAGGTGAGACAGCGTAGCTCCTGTGCAGCCATGGCCCCTGCGTAGATCTCAGCCTCACAGCTGGTTCCGAGAACAGAAGACGAGCGGGTAGACCGCCACGAAACAGAGCCGGAACCAAGGCTGAAGGTGTAACCCTGTGACGACCGCTGCGTAGCCTGGTCGTAAGCCCAAGAAGCGTCTGCGTGACCTGTGAGGACCACTGAACGCCGCCCTCCAAGCACTAGCCCCATGCCCAACGTACTGCACAAGTAGCGCAACACCCTCTTCGCTGCAGCCATGTGCTCTGGTCGGTGTCTCCCAGGAGCAACATAGCGTGCCAAGATGCTAAGAGGATATGCAAGGTCAGGTCGTGTGCAGGTCATCGGGTACATGAGGCAGCCAACAAGCTCTGGGTACGGGCCACTCGGCTCTACGGACTCATCCGAAGGCAGAGCTGAGAGCGAGAAGTACGTGAAGTCAAAGCGCTGAAGGACCTGCTGCACCATGTGTGACTGAGTTAAGGTAATGGTGCGCTGTGCTCTGTCCTGGATGATCTGCAAGCCAAGGTAGCTGCGCAGTTCACCCAGGTCTGTGCACGTGTGTCTCTTCTGCAGCTCAGACTTCACGTGGGCGAGTCCAGCAGTGTCACCAGTGGCAAAGACCAAGTCGTCGACGTACACGAGGATGTAGAACGGCGGCAGAGAGGTGTCAGTGCGCAGAAACAGCGACGGGTCGGCGGTAGAAGGAGCAAACCCAAGAGCCGCAAGTGTAGTCCTCAGTGTGTCGTGCCACTCACGGGGCGCCTGGCAGAGACCGTAAACTGGCCGCCGGAGGCTCCACTGGGTACCAGGAGGAAACGACCCAGTGAAGCCAGGTGGGCGGCGCAGCCAGATCTCCTCGTGCAGGCTGCCCTGCAAGAATGCTGTGCTGAAGTCAAGAGAGTGAAGCTCGTAGTCGCGCTGAGCGACTATGTGCAACAGCACCCGAAGAGTGGTCATCTTCGGGGTGGGAGAGAAGGTATGAAAGTAGTCAACTCCCTGCCGCTGACTGAAGCCTCGAGCCAAGTAACGCGCCTTGAAGACAGGCGGAGAACCCGGCGGCCGCTTCACCCTGAAAATCCACATGCCACTGACGGTGTTCGCCTCAGGAGGGGGAACCTCGTCGACGTAGGTGCCTGTGGACTTCCAGGAAGCCATCTCTACGTCCATGGCTGACTGCCACTAAGAGGAGTAGGGACCCTCGATCGCCTCAGCATACGATCGAGGAGTAGGGATGTCTGGTGCATCCGTGTCTCCCTCAGGGGCAATCAGCGTGGACACTAGATGAGGCAAAGCAGTAGCAAAACAGTGGAACTCCTCCTGTCTGTCCTCAAGAACGTCCGTGCCAAGAGCACACTCACCCCTGACGGACGGAGGACAGACAGACGCAGACTCAGCAACAAGACTCGCAGCATTGTCTAGACGACAACGAGCAGCGAAGTCGACCAGCTCAGCAACCAAGGCAGACGCAGCAGTGGACTCAAAGGAAGGGTCAGTGACAACAGTAGCTAGGAGACGCGTGACAGTAGGACTGGCAGCACGAAGAGAGTCAGACTCCGGGTCAGCAAGAGCAAGAAGAGAGGACTCAAGAGGAGACGGCAAAGGGACGCGCTGCGGAGCAGTGGAAGGTCGCAGTGCCATCCGGTGCGTGCCCGGGACCGCAGGAGGACGTTGACGAGGAACACGACGACTAGTGCGAATGGGCGATGCAGGACGAGACACAGGCACACGACGCTCAGTAAGACCTCCAGTAGGACCAGCGTACGGAGAAGGAGCAGGCAGTGGTGAGGGGGGCTGTAACTGTAACTGCGGCAGGACAGGCTGTGGACACTCTAAGGGAGGAGGACTAGTAGAAGGCGAGAGACCAAGAACCTGCTTCAGGAGCGGAACGAAGTACGGCCGCGGCCGCGCAGCGCCTCCAGAAACGGCAGGGACAGCACCAGTACCCCCAGCGGCAGCACCAACGCCAGCAGCACCTCCAGCTCCAGCAGCGCCAACTCCAGGACCCTCAGCAGCTCCAGTACCTCCTGCAGCACCAGCAGCACCTCCAGCAGCACCAGCAGCACCTCCAGTAGGACCAACTCCAGTAGCCCCAGAAGCACCCCCAGTCCCAGCAGCTCCAGTACCGCCAGTACGAGCACCTCCAGGACCAGTGGCTCCAGCACCTCCAGCTTCGACCCCAGGGTCAGCAGCACCAGCAGCACGACTCCAGCGCGTGGCAAACCACTCGCGCAGCTCCTGTGGAGAGGGTAGCTCCCACCGAGACGAGGTACCCGAAGCACCCCAAGGGTCAGCGCCCCCAGGCTCCGCACCCCCAGGCTCAGCACCCCCAGGCTCCGCACCCCTAGGCTCACCACCCCCAGGTTCCGCACCCCCAGAAAATGGGGAGCAGCTGCATGGGTCATGGACGTACGAGCAACGTCCATGACCATGCCAATGCGGCGCTCAGCAATCCCATTTTGTTGTGGAGAGGCCGGAAGTGTGTACGTCTGATGGATGCTCTGTGCACGGCAGAAGGCTCCCAGAAGGCCGGTGGAAAACTCCCCGCCTCTGTCAGAGTGAAGACGCAGAACAGGAAAGTCCAAGCCGAAACTCCTCCTGAGATGGAGACGAGCTGCGCGGATCCAGTCGAACAACACCCCAGTGACGTCACCCTTGCTGCGCAAGGGGATTACCGTGGTGTAACGCGAGTAGTCGTCAACTACCAACAGGAAGTAACGCTCTTGACCCTGGCCACGGACGCGGGCGGGGCCCCACACGTCCATGTGAAGAGTCTGCAGCGGAGCCTCTGTCGGAGGAAACTAAGAGGAGTGAGGAGCGGCGCGCTGCCGCCCCTCGACGCAGGGAACGCAGGTAGGGGCAGGCCCCGGAGGAAGGGGAGGGAGGGACCGGGGGAGACCAGAGACAAGGTAACGGGAGGCCATGCCTCGGAGACGAGGCAAGGAGGGGTGACCAAGGCGGTGGTGCGAGAGGAGAGTCTGGTGGGACAAGAGACGACACGAGCAGGGAGCAGACTCAGGACCAGACCTGGACGCTGCAGTAAACACCTGACCCGACGCAGCTACCTGACCAGACTCAGCAGCCGAGAAGGCCCAGTGGTCAGTATGTACAGGCTCGACCCCGGCTAACGGGTAAACGTGGCCAAGTGGCGGCCCGTCCGAGCACAGGTAGGAGGCGCTCCTCGAGGAGGTCAACGGTGAGTGTGGTGGGGCAAACAGAGAGGAAGTGGTCCCTGACTGGACGAAGGGAGTCAGGGAGTCGGGTGACTATGTAGTAGAGGGTGATGTACATGGAGGGGGGGTTCTTGGCACAGAACTCAGCAGGAAGCGCAGCGCGGTAGCGGGTGTCACTAGTGCGAATGTGCGTAATGAGGTCTGCGACTGTGGGAAAGGCGGCTAGGTCAGGGAACAGGTACGGCAACATGAGGCGGCTAAGAGCAACAGTGGCAGGGGAAGGGTAGCGTGCAATGACAGCGTCGTACAAGGTCTTAGCACTCTTGTACTGACTAAAGTGCGCGCGCTCAGTGGACGGCAAGTGACTATGCAGAGCAAGACAGGCAGCAGCATCGCGTGTGGCCCACTGTGAGCGAACAGTGCTGTCAGCATCGGCAGCAGGGGCAGGAGAGGCGCCCGACGTGAGATCGAACAGTGAGAGACCGTCTTTCCTATCGCACTATAAGAAGAGCTGCAGATCATCGACCCAGACCTCAAAGTCAATAGCCCGACCCTCAGCATCAAAGACAAGAACGCTAGGGGTAGCCATGACTGCAGTGACAGCAGTAGCAGCAGTGGCAGTAGTGACAGCGCAGTGCGGCGACACTTTTACCAGGGCAGAGAGCCGCAAGTGGTGGGGCAGGGCTGAGGCGCACCGGCAGGGACGAGCCGAGGCGCGCAGGTAGGGCCAAGGCGCACTAGCAGAGGCGGGCCGAGGCGCACCAGCAGAGGCGGGTCGAGGCGTCTCGGTAGGGCCGAGGTGCACCGGTGGCTGCAGTCAGCGGCGGCGGCGGCTGCGGCCCCGAGGGAGGTGGCGGCGGCTGCTGCTGGTAACGGCTGCTGCAGCTGCGGCTTCCGCTGCAGGGACGGCGGCGGCTGCTGCTGCAGGGACGGCGGCGGCTGCTGCTGCAGGGACGGCGGCGGCCGCTGCTGTAGGGACTGCGGTTGCTGCTGTTGCAGGGGCGGCGACGTCGGGCCGCGAAGGGCGGCGACAGGGCTGTGAAGGGCAGCGCGAGGGGCCGCGGAGGGCGGCGACGGGCCGTGAAGAGGCTGTCAGAATGTTATCTTATGCTCTAGCCTGTAGTGGGGTGCTCTATAGCGAGTACAACCCTTCTAGGGTTTGCTATTTGTATCCTCATTCTTGCTAGTGCAATCCCTCTTCTTTCTTCTAAACTTTCTCATGCTATCAGAGTAGGTCGATCACCTTGGATCGATCCTGTGGGTGGGTTACCACCTCCTCGCTTCCGCTGCAACTACCTTTCACTACTCTCTGAGCCGCACGCCCCCTGGCGTGCGGCACTCTTTCTTCCCGCCGTGCGCCCCGAGGCGCGCGGCGGTATTCTGCCCGCCGTGCGCCCCGAGGCGCGCGGTGGTTTTCTGCCCGCCGTGCGCCCCGAGGCGCGCGGCGGTTTTCTGCCCGCCGTGCGCCCCGAGGCGCGCGGCGGTTCTCTGCCCGCTGTGCGCCCCGAGGCGCGCGGCGGGCTTCTGCCCCGTCGTTCGCCGCGTCGCCCTCTGGAGGCGCCGCGACGGGCGACGGGGACCCGTCGCGGCGCACCGAGGGCACGCGCCTCGGCCCCGTCGCCCTACCTGCGCCCCGGCCCCGGCCCTGCATGCGGCCCCGGCCCCGACGCCCTACCTGCGCCCCGGCCCCATCGCCCTACCTGCGCCCCGGCCCCGGCCCCGCCTGCGGCCCCTTTTCCCGTCGCCCGTCGCGGCTCCCTCGGGGACCTGGGGGAGGGGGGCGAGCGCCGCCCCTTCTGCTGCCTGTCTTGGCGCCTTGGGAGGCCGCGCGTCGGTTCCCCCCCCCCCCCCCCCCCCCCCCTCCCCCGTAACCTCCCTACCCGCCATCCCGCCCTGCCTGTGTTAGGGTTTGGGAAGTGGCGAGTAGGGGGTGGCGAGTATGGGGGTGGCACTTCTGCATTCCTTCCTTTGCTCCTCCTCCTCCTTTGTCTCCCACTGCTGCAGCTGTCACTGAGGGGGGTGGATGTGTGGGAGACTAGGGTTTAGGGTTTAAGGGGGGTGCGTGGGAGTGGAGCTAACGGTGTAGCAGCGGGTGTGTGCCAGGGGGAGTGGGATGGTTTGGGGAAGCTGTATGGAGGTTGCCGTTTTGTCGCCAGCAGCACCTGTATTCCGGGGACTTCGTCCGGTAGCCCAGTCGTAGCCAGCTGTGCCAGCCGCCCGTGGGTCCGTTGCTCGTCTGCCGCTACTTTAGCCGCGGGGCCTGTTACTCCTGTATTCCGGGGACTTCGTCCGGTAGCCGCTGTGCCAGTGTGCCTCCTGTTGCCCGTGTGTCTGCAGCTTCAGCCGTCGCCTCCTATCTCCTCTCCTCTCACTCTCTCTCCTCCTCCTTGCTTGCCCGTTGTGACTACCACTAGCTTTGCTCATAATTGTACCGTTTAAACTATTGCTTCTTGAACTTGTGCTCAGAATGTGTGTTGACATTGTGATCCACCCTGAGCTTGTACTGCTTTGCTTGCTCTGCTGATTACACCCCACTTTGGCTATGGGGGTGTGTCAGAATGTTATCTTATGCTCTAGCCTGTAGTGGGGTGCTCTATAGCGAGTACAACCCTTCTAGGGTTTGCTATTTGTATCCTCATCCTTGCTAGTGCAATCCCTCTTCTTTCTTCTAAACTTTCTCAGAGGCCGCGAGGGGCCGCGAAGGGCGGCGCGAGGGGCCGCGAAGGGCGGCGCGAGGGGCCGCAAGGGGCCGCACGAGGGGCCGTAAGGGCGGCGCGAGGGGCCGTAAGGGGCCGCGCGGGGCGACGCGAGGGGCCGACGAGCGTCGCGAGGGGCCGTAAGGGCGGCGCGAGAGGTTGTAAGGGCGGCGCGAGGGGCCGTAAGGGCGGCGCGAGGGGCAGTGAGAGGGGCCGCTAAGGGCGACGTGAAGGGGCCGTGAGGGGCCGAGAGAGGGCGCGACGGTAGGGAGGGCACATGGGGCGCGACTCGAGTAGGAGCAAAGCGCACTCCGGGCAGGGATTTTTTTTTTTTTTTTTTTTTTTTTTTTCGTGGTGGGCCTTAGGAAGCGTTCCCACTAGGGAACCTGCTCGATACCATGTGAAGAAACGAGGGAATGATTGACTAGTGGGAGGTTGGGTACAAGTAGAAACCCTAGAAACATTGTACCCCATATGTGCTACCCCGCTATAGCCTACACAGGCTAAGTCATATAAATCTGACACTTCAGGCAGCACCGGTTCCCCCTCATCAAGGGAAGTTGCGTCGCAGACAGGGCAGTACACCGACGGGACAACGGTTTATTGCAGCGTCTAGACCCGCGAATTTCGCCTGGTCTACCGGTCACAATAAACGGAGTTGCGACAAATACGGGTCTGGCGAGAAAAACGGATTCAGAGCTTCAGGAGGGGCGAAAACGACCTACTGCGACGACTTTTTGCTGAGGGCCGAGTTTTGCGGCTAAGCGGCGGTAGCAGAAGGAGCTCCCTACCGGCCAAAGTCTACCGACGTTTTCATTTACCTCACGCCCAGAAGGCCTCGAAGGCAAGGTGTAAGTCCTATTGGCTACTGGATCCGAAGGTGGGGCCCTGTGTTTAGCCCTATGCTGGCCAAAAAGCGCGGGTATTGCGCCAGTTCGACAGCCGGGCGTAAAGAAAATTTCATGGTGCGACACTGTTTCCGCCCCGACAAAACCGGACCATCGGCAGCAGTTACCCCGCCGACAAAGTCGGAGCTGAAGCAGTTGGTGCAGCTGTCGGAGTTTCTCCTAATTCAACGGTCTACCCGACGGCGGCGTAGCGGCGAAAAGGGGTTTCCGAAGTTGTGGAGTTTTAAACGCGATAGACGCTGTGGGCAACGAAGCGGCCGGCCCGACTGTTTGATCCGATAAACAAGATCCGGCTACGATAGCGTTCGCACCTTCACCGAATGGCAGAAAGATCGCGGGCAACAACGAGCAATACCTCATCCGACAAAAGCGGACGCTGGGTGAACGGCGGCCAGCGAAAGTGTCGGGGGGTGAAGACAAAAATTGTGATGGAGGGAAAGTTGTGGGTGCTCCAGCAGATCACTTGAGTGAAAGGTTGAGAACGTGCACCACTCCACCGCGAATTTCGGAGTCTATTCGGTAGACTTCCGAAAGGGTTTGATATTGTTACATAGAGGCGCGGCGAGCGGTGCATCGCCAAGGATACCTGGGATTCGCCAAGTGGCTTCGACGGGTATGAAGATGGGTGAACACCGGAGTTCCTGGGTTAACGGCGGAAACGTCGGAGTTATGCGGCGGAAAATAACTTCGGGACTGCTTCAACAACCATGATTTTCGGGGTTTCATTCCAACGGTGGGAGACGGGTGAACGACTGCTCGCCAGCTGTTTCAGCGGTGTACGGTGTACTTCGAAGCCATCTGGGGAAATTCAACAGCTAGATCTGCGGCGTAGATGCGGGCTAGGTTCCATGAAATTCGGTCCCGGTAGACCCATAGTTCTGGGTTCCGCACAAAAAGCACCTCCTGTTGGTGGGTGGCTAGTGTGGTTAATCGCAGGAAATAAAAATGGCGACGGGTGGGCACGCTAGATACACCGGATCTTCAAGGGGATAACCTGTAGGTGACTAAGACGTACAAGTGTTTTTCGACACCGACATTTACGGCGAACGAGTATCGGTTTTACAAAAGTTCGGCGGTGACGGCCGACAACTTCGTGAAACGGCGGAGTTGCAGCGGTGCTGCGGTAAGTGCGCGAAACTTCCGTGGTAAATTTCATGGTGACAAAATCTGCAGAGTTTCAGGGGTACCAACCGCAACACTGGTGAAGATTATCGCAACAGGTGGGGGGAGGAAGGACTGCTTTTTCGCCTCTGCCCCTGGAGTTTTCGGAGGATCAGGACAAATACATCGGCGAGTCTGGACAAGACTGCCGGAGGTGCTGACGTCATATGACCCTTAGGACGGGTCCGATGTGTTCCAGTGGTGAAGTTCTCGTTGTGTTACCGGAACTGACCTTCTCGTCGATCGTCGTCACCGCGCTTCAACGACGTCGCCAAAACGACGCGACTTTTCGACGACGAGTGAAACGATCCAGGGTCAGCGCCGTTGGTGTTTTCGGAATGGCTCCGATTTTTGCAAAGAACAACAGCAGCAAAATTCGGATGGCAGATGCTGCCAGCTGGGGATGCTGCAACAGTCAGGCATTACTGCAGCCACGACAACAAGACAGACGCAGTGATATTCGGTTTACACCTAGCCCGCGCTAAATTCACTGGCGGTATCTTCACCAGCTGGGGGTACTTTTCCACGGTCATGCTAGTTTATTAAGGTAGTTTCGGATCGAGAGGGGGTTGACTCATCCATACCCTCACCAGTTGAAGAAAAGTCGGAACTTGTTAATAGCCAATTCCTGCCCTTCTCTCAGATCACCAAGTACGATTGCATTAGACAGAAAACTTGATGGCTGTGAACTGTTAGTCCCGCAGTCCCTGGGTGACTATCTCATTAGACGGAAACGCATAAGGAGGGCCTGTAAGAAAAACGTTCAGACGGTGAAGATACCGCGAGCTAGGTGTACTGTTGCTGCCAGCTGGAGATACGGCAGCAGGTTCGATCTGCCACGCGGTGATTCTGTATGGCAGCCGCAGGACATGCTGCAGCGGCTGACGCGACAATAATGACAACAAGAAGGTTTCATCACGGGACATTGACCACGGGCTTCGACAGAATTTACCATAGGCATTTTTTTGGGGTTTTCGGCAGTGAAGATTTCGCCACCGACAGAAATTTCAACTGCACAGCGGCTGAATTTCAGGCGAAAGGTAATAACACTTGGTATTCCGCGTCAGGGTGGTTGTGGTTCTGTGCCCGCGCAGAGGTGCACATTTTGATGGGCAGCATTTATCTTCCCAGGGGGGGGAGAAAGAGTGCTCACGCACTGTTCTTGACAGGTCTCTGACATTTCGGCAGTTATTTCTGACAGTTCGTTTGAACACCCAGCACGACGGACGCACGCGATGGCTTCATCGGCATCGACGGCACCAGATTCATCGATCTCTGACAACGCGACAGAATTCCCGCCGACATGACGTTCATCGGAACCATCCGATACACATCCGCAACATCGTCGGTTTTCCTTCGTCGAACGATCTCAAATCGACATTCGCTTTCAACCGCCCGATCGACATCTTCAGTATTAACGGCTGACATTCCAACTCTTTGAAACTCGCCTGGTCAATGCGTTCAGCCACGCGTCAACTCGAAAGTCAACATGCTTCCGCGCCGTCAGATCGGTTTTCGACCGAGATCTGCAGTTTTCAAGCTACTGCAAGACTCGGCTATGTATAAGGGCACCTTATTCAGAAGGTGGGAGAGTGTAATGAATGTGAATTCATTACTGTAGAGGCTGCTCCTAGCGAGGACAGCCCGAACTGTTCGCGTCAGTTGGGCTCGGCCTACACTTTCGTACCGAACCAGCGCCGAGTCGCCCCGCACCAAACGCGACACTTCCAAGCCTCGCACGTCCCGAGGTCCTCGCCTGCCACGGTTTCGACCCTATAAATGCATGCCTCTTGATCATTCTCGTCATTCTGTAATTCTCATCCTTTTTATAAAGTCTTCCGTGCGCTCTTCTTAGTACAACTCATAACAGTCAGACACATATGCATGATAATGATAAATGGTGATGATATATCTGACAGTAAAATAGCACGCATGATTTCATTTGCACATACAGGTGACAGAGCCTCCTTTCGAGTGATCACGAAATGTAAAATTTCTGCAACTTGAAACATGAAGTCCACGCGGACTTCATACAGTGACAGGAGAAACAAAATTCAGTCCACTTGATTCAATCAGGGTTCACCTCCAGATGCCTCGACGACCCTTGTGTTACTTGGTTTCTGACTACTGGCTGCTGGTCACACATCCCCTCTACACGCCTTGGTCTGCCTCCACGAGCTCCAGGCATCGGGCCACGAGCGACAGCACCGTCTCCACTCCCATCCACTCCCGCACCCATGCCTGCTCATCCATCTCCTCCTCCCCCTCCTCCTCCTCCCCACCCACCCCATCCTCCTCCTCTCCACTCGCCCCTTCTTCGTCCTCATGTCCGCATCCAGTCCCTTCCCTACCACCCATGACCCGTGGTCTCCTGGATTCGAGGGATGCCCGCGCGGCGAGAGCGGCGGAGCGCAGAGGCAGGAGCCAGCAGTTGCGTGCGCGAAGCAGGCTGGGCTTTGTGCGGAGGGATGTGGGGGAGGGCAGGGGGAGAGGCGAGATTAGGGGGGTGGGGGAGAGGAGTGCGGTTGGTGGTTGCGGCTCCGTGGATTCTGTGGGAGTCACAGGAGAGGCAGTGGAGCTGGGCACTGTTTGCTGCTCTCTGAGGAGCAGGAAGCGCAGGAGGTTGAGCGCTGCAATGAGGGCGTCTGAGTGATCCGGCAGGCGGAAGGTCAAGGGTGGCGCGGGAGAGGAAGCAGAGGGGTCAAGGAGAAGGTCTAGCAGGGAGAGGATGGCTGGCGAGGCGAAGGCGGGTAGAGGGGGAGGAGAGAGGGGGTGGTTGGGAGGAGTGCTTGCGGATGATTTTGATGGCGGTGAAGCTGGAGCTGACGTGGATGGTGGTGCTGACGTGGATGGTGGTGCTGACGTGGATGGTTGTGCTGATGTGGATGGTGGTGCTGACGTGGATGGTGCTAGGTGCAGCAAGCGAGGCCATGCTCGGTCCACTTCGTCCTTGGCGAATGACACGAGCAGAGCCACCTGGTGGGGGGTGAGTGGGGAAGGTGGGGATGAGAAGGCGGTGGGGGGAGAGGAACAGAAGGGGAAAGGAGATGGGTGAGATGAGAAGTGAGAAATGCAAGTCGAAGGGGGCTGGGCGAAGGGGGCTGGGCGAAGGGGGCTGCGGAAGTGCGGGAACGGGAGGGTGAGGAGACGTGGAAGAGAGAAGAGAGGCATGGGGTGCCCCTGCCATGCCTGCATGGGGTATGTGACAGCCCCTTGGGATCATGTCAGGACAAAGCATCCACTACATATTGCACCACACTGACCATCATGCTTCCTTCTCTGTACTCTACAATCAACCCCACTACACCACACCGCACCGCGCTCACCATCATACATTCGACCGTGCATTACACAATCAGTCCCTTGACATACTCCAACCTCCTCCCATCTATCATTGAGATGCCTCAGAAGAAGACAACCCAGTCACCAGTGCACCACACTCACCTCTGCACCATACTCCACCGCACTGTACTCACCAGCATGCTCTCTTCTTTGTACTCCAACCTCTCCCAGTCTGTCGCTGCCTTGCCCCAGAAAAAGAGACAACACTCACCAGTGCACCTGCACCGCACTGCACCACACTGCACTCACCAGCATGCTTTCCTCACTGTACTCCACAATAAGTTTTTTCACACACTCCAGACGCTCCCCATCTGTCATCGCCGCCCGCAGCACTGCCAGCATGGCGCGGTGTGCCGCCCGGCGCAGCGCAGATGAGCCGACCGCTGACATCATCACGCCAGCCAATGACGACGCCACACGTGTCACTGTTTCTACAGCAATGGAGTCGTTATTGTCAGCAAATTGGTGTTTGTCTGTCAGCGATCGTGGTTGAGAGTGTGTGGGAGAAGGGGGGGAGTGTGAGTCGTTTTTCTCAGTGCAAGAGGAGGTGCAAGCATACAGAGCAGCATGAACCAATCGTATGCCAGCAACCCTTCTCAACACAACGTCTCCCACTCCTCTTCTCCCTGCAACACCACCTGGAGAGCCAGCAGCAAGGAGGCAAGGAGCAAAGCGGAGCAGTGTGATGAGAGTGGTGCGGTCGACGGGAAGGGTGCTGCTGCTGGTGCAGGTGGTAGGGTGAGGCTTTGCAGCTTGGAGAAGCGCCCATAGCAGCAGCACCGCCACTCCCCCCTCCACCTCCCTTTGCACCGCACCTAACCACTCCTCTTCTCTCTTCAACCTCTCCGCTTCTCTCCTCTTCTTCTCTTCTCTGCTTGCTCTACCACCCTCTCCCTCCTCCTCATCCTCCTCATCCTCCTCTTCCTCCTCCTCCTCTTCTTCTTCCTCCTCATCTGGCCTCAGAAGAGCCTTCACCGCTCCCAGCCAAGCATTGCCGCCCAAAGCCCCATCCGCACGAGCTGCAGCAGCAGCAGCACCAGCAGGTGCAGGTGCGGCAGCAGCTGTATTGTCGTGAAGTTGGCAGGAGGAGCGGCACACAGTGAGGGAGAGAAGGTCCACAGAGGGGAGGAGAGAGTGTGCTGTGGCACTGGCAGCACCACCTTCTGTGCTCTCAGCACCACCGATTGCACCTGCTCTGCTGCTGCTGCTGCTGCTGCTACTGCTGCTGCCTGTGCCCATGCTTCTAGGCGTGTATTCAGCTGCGCTCTCCCCTGGAATGAGTGGCCACAAGGCACCGAGGTGGCAGTGGAGAGCAGCCAGGGCGCTGAGCACGGGGAAGATGAGGGGGAAGGGGGGTGCAGGGAAAGGTGCAGGAAAGGGTGCTGGGTCTGAGGCAGGTGAAGGGGGCGAGAGTTTTGAGGGGAGAGCGGAGGGGGGTTGGGGATGGGAGGAGAGGATGGAGAGGAGGAAGGCGGAGCAGCGGGAGAGGGAGAGGAGCAGCAGCAGCGTGGCTGTCTGGGCCGCCAGCAGTAGCTGGGGGGAGATTTGCGGGTGAGAGGATATGTCGGTGCTTGCAGCTGCAGCGGCAGTTGCTGGGACGGGTGGGACTATAGAGCGCGTGACTGCAGTGAGAACGAGGTGCATGCAGCGATGGCACACCAACCATGCTGCCTCCGTGCTGCTGCTGGGAGTTTCAAAGAGGTCTGGGATGATGGAGTGAGTGCCAGGAGGGAAAGGAGGGGTGGGGGTGTGAGGGGGTTGAGGGATGGGAGCAGGTGCGGTGGGGTTGGGAGGTGGGATGGGAGGAGATGCGTGAGGTGATGGGGGGATCATGGAGCGGGTGCCAGGAGGAAAGGGAGGGGTGGAGGGAGCAGGCAGTGCGATAGGGGGGTTGGCTTGCACAAGTGGTGTGATGGGAAGGGTAGGCTGCGGTGCTGGTGCAATGAGAGGGGTAGAGTGCGGTGGTGGTGCCCCTGGTGCGGTGATGGGAGGAGTGGGAAGCGAGGGCGACACGGAGAAGGAGGAGACGCGCAGGGCGGAGGCACGTGAGGGGAAGGGGCTGGGAGGGGGCGGGGGAAGGAAGATTTCAGCAGACAGAGGGGAGAGCGAGGGGAGAAAAGGAGTGGAGATAGGAGTTTGAGAGGCGGAGGTGCAGGGGGGAAGGGAGGAGAGTGTGTGCGGCGGTGTTGGTGGTGTTGGTGGTGTTGGCAGCAGTGTGTGGCGAGGTGGCAGCACGGCACAGTGAGAGGCCCGCTGGACAAGGTGCAGGAGAAGCGGCACCAAGTCGATAAAGAAGCGATGACGCTGGCGGGGGATGCGGGGGAGCGCTGGGGGGAGTGGGGGGAAAAGAGAATTTGGCGAGGGGAGAGACGCCGGTGAGTTACAGGGAGGAGTGGTGCCAAGTCGACAAAGAACCGATGGCGCTGGCGGGGGATTCGCGAGAGAGCTGCGAAGACCGGGAGGGAGGGAGAGGGGCGGAAGGGGTTTGGCGAGGGGTTGCAGGTGTAGAGGAAGGGACGAGATGTGAAGAGAGCAGAGATGGGAGCGACGAGGAGAAACACAAAGAAAGCGAAAATAATATTAGTTAGATAGAAAAACGGGTGGAAAGCGGAGGGAAGGCAAGCACACTGACTGTGAACTCATGCCGGCACTCTTATTGACCGAGCGAGCACTGCACTACACCTGGCTGGCTGACTGCCAATTGCCTGCAGTACATCACTTGTGCAGATTCTCAAAAGCACTACACCTGACTGCACCTGACTGACTGCACGCACCGCAAGGCACTCACAGGCATGCGGCCCGGGCAAAAGGCCGAGGTGAGTGCTCAGCTCACGCGATGTTGGTTGGACTTCTCCAGAACAACTCTAACGAGTTGAGCGCACAGCAAAACATTTGATCCTGTGCAAGGCAGGTCCGTAACTGGTGTGTAGCCCGGTCAGCAGGGCAAGCCGAGTGCTTTTTTGAGAGTTCTTAACAACAGCCAACCTGAACACACCCTGCAGCACCTAATGTGATCTGATCTTATTTGATTTGATCTGATTTCATCATAAGCAATTCGCGGCACTCACTGGTGTGCAGCCCGGTCAGCAGGGCGAGCTGAGTGCCAAACGGCGCCACACAGTCATTCCAAATCGCTCCTCCCTCCCCTCCCCTATCCTCCCCCTCCACCTCCCCTCCCTCCCCCTCTCCCCTCTCCTCCAACCCCAACTGCGCCGCCCACCTCACGGCCCCAGACAGCCCCTCCACGAGAGCGGCATGCACCTCGCGGGTGTCACCCGCCCCAGATGCCACCTCCCCCACCGCCCGGCACGCCAGCGCACAGCAGCACGGGGAGGCGTCGGCTGGTGCAGGTGGTATGTGGGATGGTGATGGTGTGGAGGAGGGCGAGGAAGGAGGGGAGGGAGGGGGAGAGGAGGGAGGGGAGGAGAGAGGGGAGGAGGAGAAGGGGAGGGAGGAGGGGAGAGGCGAGGAGAGGAAGCGGAGGATGTCCCACGATGCCCGGTCGATGAGGAGAGACACCTGGTGGGTGGGGATGGGAGAGGAGGGCGGGGGGGGGGAGAATGGAGGAGGATTGTTGGCAATTGGGGCGTGATGAGGTGAGGTGTGGCATGGTGGGCGGCATGGTGGGTGGCATGGTGGTGGGCGGCATGGTGGGTGGCATGGTGGGTGGCATGGTGGGTGGCATGGTGGTGGGTGGCATGGTGGTGGGTGGCATGGTGGGTGGCATGGTGGTGGGTGGCATGGTGGTGGGTGGCATGGTGGTGGGTGGCATGGTGGTGGGTGGCATGGTGGTGGGTGGCATGGTGGTGGGTGGCATGGTGGTGGGTGGCATGGTGGTGGGTGGCATGGTGGTGGGTGGCATGGTGGTGGGTGGCATGCATCCCATGAGGTAGGGCGGAGGAGGAGACATTGCTGATGGACGAATGGAGGGTGTGGGGGGGAAATGAAGGGTCGTCTCAAACAGAGGAAAGAGCGGGGGAGGTTGGAAAGCGGAATGGGTTGAGAGGGAGGAAAGGGATGAGAGGAGGGTTGATGGTTGTGGAGGGGTGTGTAATGAAAGGGGGTAAATGAAGACGGGAGCGGGTGAGGACAGAGATGGGATGGGGTGGGATGGGGGCATGATGGCAGGGTATGTTCCTGAGGGGTACATGGATGGATGGAAGGAGAGGGAGAGGTGCTGCGGCATGTCAGGGGGTTTGTTGGGCCGATACGAGGAGAAAAAAGAGGTGAAGAAACGCTCGATTCTTTGCCTGACGGGGAAATGCAGGCGATGATATATGAGTCATGCGCGAGTGGATGACCTTTTTCCTCACCCCACCTTCCCCCCTCTCACCCTACCTCCTCATCATCCCTCCTCCCCCGCACTACCTGGCGGCCTGACAGCAGCGACAGCAGCAGCTGCAGCACGCGCCACACGGCGGGCTCCCGACTCTGCTCATCCGCACCAGCACGAGCGGAACAGCCTTCGCTTTCCGAGTCCTTTCCAGCAGCATCCGCACCGCCATTCACGGCAGCACGCGCCTCGGGGCCCTCCACTCCTGCTCCTCCTGCTCGTGCTGCTTCCCCTGTCTCTCCCTCTTCTGCTGCTGGTTTCCGCGAACTTGCGCATCCCTCGTCGCATCCCTCCTCCAGCAGCCGCCTCAGCTGTGCTGACGTGGCCTCGATCTCCTCGAGTGACGTGTCCGGCAGCTGACACAGCCGCTCCGCGCAAGCCCGGACCCTGTCTTGCCACGTAGCCATTCACGATTGGCTTATCGCCAGACGGTAAGAAAATCAAGCAAGGGAGGGTGCGCGCATGTGGCACTGTAGAGTTAGAGGGGCATCGCTATACCCGCAATCGTCGCTCGACACTCATACGACGAAGACCTATCACAAGGTTACGATGCTTTACGACAGACTCGGCGTTTAGCGGATCAGCGAGTGTCGCTGCGACGGAAAGCGCGGGCCCTGGGAGGCCATCCTTAGAGGAAATGACGGACCGCCCTGGCTCGGGTTTCCGATTCCTTACTACATGGACCAATGGCTTGTGTGTCGACAAAGCGCCACGGTAGTTTGAATGGCATGCGAGCCGTGGAAGAGTCTGTTCTGAGGAGGAAATCTCATGCGATAAAAAGCTACTCGATTTCACACGAGACCGTTGTGTTTGTAATTATGTTTTCTCCCACCATCATTAACAACATTTCTACATAAGAAATATACAACTGCAAAGTGGGAAGTTTGAAATCACCCTAGACTTTCTGAAATCTCAGTCTCCACAAAGTGGGAAGTCTGAAATCACCCTGAAATCAGGGTAATTACCCTGATAAAATCAGCCCTGCCGCACCCCATTGAATTGAACACTCCTGTGGCTTGGAAGCGTTTCAGCTCGGTTAGCAGCGCACACTGCAAGGTGCTGAGCTGGCAGGAGCAACACTACACTGCAAGCCAGCTCACAGCGATAGATCACCAAGCTAGCATGCGTTGCCTTGCCGGCCTTCATCCCATCACAGCGCTGTGCTCCCTCCTCGTAGGTATCATATATTCCTTGTGAAGTGCTGCTTCTGACATGACAAACCAGGCCCATCACATCTTTGAAGCGCCTTAGAGATACCTACCTACCGGTAGTAGTATTAGGTTAATGAAGGGCTAAGGCAAGGATAGCCCAGGCCCAGCACCGCACATGACCCCACCGCACCGCACAGCACACATAGCAGCTGCATGCTGCTGCCCGGAGAAGCGATTATTGTAGGACCTGAAAGATGGGCTCATAGTGTTGCTGCAGAGAGAGAAGAGACGGGATGGGCATGGCATGCTCTTGGCAGGTGACTGCCCAGGCAGAAGGCAGCATCTCTTCGCTTCACTCCCTCAGACGGCAGCTGGTAGACGGCAGCATCTCTCCCCACCAACCACCACCTCCGTCTCGCATCCAACCCCACCTTACCGCTCTCCACCCCCCACCCCTGCCCCAGCACATGCGTGGACGGCCTTTAATCCTGCCCTTCTTCCCTCAACCAGACCTACTTTCTTCCTTAGCGCCCTCCATCCCTCTATCACCGCCCCTCAAAGTTGGTGGAGATGGGCGGCTGGTGCGTTGTCGAGTGCAGCACAAGCGAGTCCGCCCCGCCAACTCCAACCAACTAGCACAGCATCCCCTCCCCCTCCTCCTCCCCTGCTCCCCGCCACAAGAATGGACGGCTCAGATACATAGCTGGGGTCGAGGCGCTCTGAATCTCCTCCACCTAATCCTCTCCTAAACACCTATATGCCTGTCACCGCCCCGCGAAGTTGGTGGAGATGGGCGGCTGGTGTGTTGTCGAGTGCAGTGCTAGCGAGTCTGCCCCCCCAACGCCAACCAGCTCCAGCACCGCATCCCCTCCCCCTCCTCCTCCCCTGCTCCCCGCCACGGGAGTGGACGGCTCAGATACATAGCTGGGGTCGCTCTCGCGCTTGAGGCGCCGTTGGATCTCCACCAGCCACGTCAGCGCGTCGGTCATCTCGGGGCGGTGGCGCGCCTTGTCTCTAGTGCACTTGTCGGCTATCTCCGCCATGGCTTTAATGGCTTCTTTGTCGTAGTCGCCCTTAAATGCCGGGTCCACTATCTCCTCTACGTTGCCTTTTTTGAGGTACATGATCGCCTGGCAAGGGGAGGAAGCCGGAAGGGGAGGTGGGGGGACAGGGGGAAAGTGGAGGGGCAAGGGACGGGTTAAAGGAGCTGGGAAGGGACCAGGGGAGAGCAGGAGGGGGAAGGGGAAGGGATGTAAGCAGGCGCGCATTGTCTCTAGTGCACTTGTCGGCTATCTCCGCCATGGCTTTAATGGCCTCCCTGTCGTAGCCCCCCTTGAATGCCGGGTCGACGATCTCCTCTAGGTTGCCCACCTTCAGATACATGATGGCCTGGGGGGTGGAAACGGGAGAAGCGGGGATGGGGAAGGAGACGGGGAATGGGAGAAACCACTATCTCCCTGTCTTAGTCGCCCTTCAGTGTACCTAGAAGGTCCACAATCTCTTCTAGGTTGCCCTTCTTCAGGTACATGATCGCCTGAGGGGGAGACAGGGGGGCGTGGTGGATGAGAGCAGAAAGGGATCACAGGAGGGGTGGAGTCGCCCTTCAGTGCCGGGTCCATGCCAAGCTGTTTCGTCCCCAATCTAGCATCACCCATATCATCCCATCCCATCCCAGCCCACCACACCCCACCGCACTCACCCAGATGGGCAGCTGCATGAAGCAGGGCCCATCGCCTGGGCCTGAGTCGGGGTCCTCCACCTCTAGGATGGGCGATTTGCCCGTTATGAGCTCCCACAACACCACTCCGAAACTGCACGACACGAAGGGCCCAAAGGAAGTGGAGAGGAGTACAGCAAGGTGGAGAGGTGTTGAGAAGGGTGGAGCAGGCTCAAGCCTGAGTCCTCCACCTCTAGAATGGGCGACTTGCCTGTGATGAGCTCCCACAGCACCATCCCGAAGCTGAGAATCAGGAAGGAGAGGGATATGGGGAGGTAGAGAGGTGTTCAGAGAGGTGAGGCTGACGCCAGGGCTCTCCACCTATAGAATTGGCGACTTGCCCGTAATCAGCTCCCACAGCACCACTCCGAAGCTGCATGGAAGGCACGGTAGGCCACAGAAACAGGGGAAGGGAGAGGGGGAAAGAGAAACCGGAGATAGGTAAGTGAGCCATTATCCCCCTGTGATCACCTCCCACAGCACCCTCCGCAGCTGCGAAGCAAGGAGGAGAGGAGTACACTGTGGTAGGTATAGGTAGGGGTGGGGTGGGGCAGTTGAGAGAGAACCAAGGGAATTGAGTGAGGAGGAGAGGGTGGCACGGCACAAGGCTTGCTGAGGCATCTCAAGGGCCTGCCGGAGGTAACTCAACGTAAGAATCCTCTGGAGCAGACGACTCTGGAGCAGACGACTCTGGAGCAGACGACTCTGGAGAAGACGACTCTGGAGTGCAACTCTGGGTGGAACAGGCTCGCGTCTCGGTGCTCTGCTACTGGGATGATCGATTTGGCCGATACCAGCTCCCATCCCACAGCACCCCTCTTAACCCATGGCACCGGATGCGGAGAGGCAAAAGGACTCTACTCGACTTGTGGTAATGTTTGAGCCGTGTGCCATGAGCAACCTGTACACATCGCACTTGGTGGTGACCTTGCACGTGTAGCAGTATTCTGAATCCGCATAGCCTGGTGTGCCTTTGGAGAATTCTCAAAAGCACTCCACACCCTGAGCTGAGGGGCTCAGGACGAAGGAAAGGAGCCCGGCCAGCATTCGCCTCGAGTCAAACCTGCAAGTGACTGCAAGTGTGGGGCACGCGGGTCATCCACGCACCTGTACACATCACACTTGGTGGTGACCTTCCTCGTGTAGTAGTACTCAGGGTCCATATAGCCCGGCGTGCCCAGCACTCCACTCCAGCATTCGCGTTGACTCAACCCTACAGTCGACTGCAAGTGTGGTGCGGAGCAGAGTGAAGCAACACACCTGTAGACATCGCACTTGGTGGTGACCTTGCACGTGTAGTAGTATTCGGGGTCCACATAGCCGGGCGTGCCCAGCACTCGTGTGCTCACCGCCTCCGATGCGCCCTTGCCGCCACTCGCTCCGTCCACCATGTTCTTGAAGAACCCGAAATCCGCCACCTTGGGCTGGTGGGGTGGGAAACATTGCAGAGGTAGGAGAGGGAAGATAAGCAGGCTTTACAGACTCAACAGCCCTCCTTGCCGCCACTCGCCCCGTCCACCATGTTCTTGAAGAACCCAAAATCCGCCACCTTGGGCTGATGGGGTGGGGGAGCAGGCAACAAGGAATGGCAACATTGGGCATACAGCGGGAGACGAACAGATGGGGACTTCAGTGACAAAGGAAGGCCTCCCCTTGCCACCACCCGCCCCGTCCACCATGTTCTTGAAGAACCCAAAATCCGCCACCTTGGGAGGGAAGACACAAGCAGCGGTAAGGGTGGGAAGATGAGCAGGCTTCACTGACCCACACACCCTCCCTGCCTGCCGCCACTCGCCCCGCCCACCATGTTCTTGAAGAACCCAAAATCCGCCACCTTGGGCTGATGGGGTGGAAGTTGGAAGCAGGCAACCAGGCATGGCAGCAGAGGGCATAGAGCAGTATGGGAGACGAACAACATAAGGCCCCTTTGCCGCCACTCGCCCCATCCACCATGTTCTTGAAGAGACCAAAATCCGCCACCTTCCGCTGGTAGGGTGGGGAATGGAGAAAGAACGGCAGAAAAATGCTACAACCTCACACAAACCCTACTTGCCGCCACGCGGCTCACACTGTCGAACATCAGGCAGAGGGATGATTCATTGCACGATGGAAGAGGAGGAAAAAGGGGGGGAGGGGGAGGAGATGTTGGGGGGAGGAGATGTTGGGAGGAGGAGATGTTGAGGGGAGGAGATGTTGGGGGGATGTCCCAACAGCTCACCTGCATGTCCCAACAGCTCACCTGCAGGTCCCAACAGCTCACCTGCATGTCCCAACAGCTCACCTGCAGGTCCCAACAGCTCACCTGCATGTCCCAACAGCTCACCTGCATGTCCCAACAGCTCACCTGCAGGTCCCAACAGCTCACCTGCATGTCCCAACAGCTCACCTGCATGTCCCAACAGCTCACCTGCATGTCCCAACAGCTCACCTGCATGTCCCAACAGCTCACCTGCATGTCCTAACAGCTCACCTGCATGCCCCAACAGCTCACCTGCATGTCCCAACAGCTCACCTGCAGGTCCCAACAGCTCACCTGCATGCCCCAACAGCTCACCTGCATGTCCCAACAGCTCACCTGCAGGTCCCAACAGCTCACCTGCATGTCCCAACAGCTCACCTGCATGTCCCAACAGCTCACCTGCATGTCCCAACAGCTCACCTGCATGTCCCAACAGCTCACCTGCATGTCCCAACAGCTCACCTGCATGCCCCAACAGCTCACCTGCATGCCCTTGTCCAGCAGAACGTTTTCGCTCTTCACGCCGCGGTGCATTACAGAGGGCGTGGTGATCGGAAGGGCGCATGGACAGGCAGGCGGACAGACCCACAACACAACCAGGCAGGCAAGCAGGCAGGAGGAGGGAGGCGATGAGATGACAGACCTGCATGTTCTCGTCGAGCAGGATGTTTTCGCTCTTCACGTCGCGGTGCACCACGGAGGGCGTGGTGAAGTTGTGCAGGTATCGCAGCCCCTCGGCCGCCCCCACTGCCACGTCCACGCGCTGCAGGAAGGTCAGCCCTAGCTTGTGCGCGTCGGGGTGCTCCAAGGCGGCTGGAGGGATGGGAGGCACCGTGAATGAGGGAACAATGGGAGAGAGGGGGAGAGGAGATGCGGGTATGATGGGGAGACGATGAGAGGGAGATGGTGAGGAAACGCGGACAAGAGGAGATGGGGTAAAAAGGGAAAAGGGGGGCGGAGTGGTGAAGTTGTGCAGGTATCGCAGCCCCTCGGCCGCCCCCACTGCCACGTCCACGCGCTGCAGGAAGGTGAGCTCTAGCTTGTGCGCGTCAGAGTGCTCCAAGGCGGCTGGAGGGGAGGCAAAGCAAACGGAGGGCAAGATAATGGGAAGTTGGGGACACGAAAAGTTAGCCTGCGTCGGGGTGGAAAGGGGTCGGGGGATGAAGCGGGGGTCATGGGGGTCGGGGGATGAAGCGAGGGTCATGGGGGTCGGGGGATGAAGCGAGGGTCATGGGGGTCGGGGGATGAAGCGAGGGTCATGGGGGTCGGGGGATGAAGCGAGGGTTATGGGGGTCGGGGGACGAAGCGAGGGTCATGGGGGTCGGGGGATGAAGCGAGGGTCATGGGGTCGGGGGATGAAGCGAGGGTCATGGGGGTCGGGGGATGAAGCGAGAGTCATGGGGGTCGGGGGATGAAGCGAGGGTCATGGGGGTCGGGGGATGAAGCGAGGGTCATGGGGGTCGGGGGATGAAGCGAGAGTCATGGGGGTCGGGGGATGAAGCGAGGGTCATGGGGGTCGGGGGATGAAGCGAGGGTCATGGGGGTCGGGGGAAGAAGCGAGGGTCATGGGGGTCGGTCGGGGGATGAAGCGAGAGTCATGGGGGTCGGTCGGGGGATGAAGCAAGAGTCATGGGGGTCGGGGGGAAGAGGGCGGAAGTGGAAGGGAGAGAAACTGGGTTCGGCTCGTCTACCAACTTCCCATTATCTTGCCCAAACTGGGTAAAACCCTTCTTTGTCCATAAGGTGGTAGCTTCACTTCAGCACTATGATGCGGCTCACCTTTGGACGGGCGCAGGTGTTGCCGCAGGTTCCCATTCGGCACAAACTCGTACACCAGGATCTGCAACAAGCAACAACAGAGGGAAGGGAAGGAACAGGAGCGATTTAGAGTCATCAGGTCAAGTCAACAAAAAACCCATACACAGGGATATGAGAACGAATAAGTGAAGGGTGAAGGAGAGAAACGTACTACTGTTCTCCTAGACAACAACCGTACCTGCCCTGCTCTTCACCTGCTCGCCCCCACTGCTCACCTGATTTCCCTGGTCTGGTCCT